TGAATCAGGCACCTCCTCATCCTCATGCTCCACACCTGGCCCCGTGAAGTGACTTGAAGCTACCTTTGTGCATCTGGAGTGGGGAAACAAGCTGAAGCCAGGCTGGGGGATGTTATGGTGCTGGAAAGACTGCTCATGGGAGGCAGAGCATCCTGTTTCATGGGAGATGGGAGTGAGAGGGAAAGGGAGCAGGACCGTTAGGCTCCTTTTCTGCTTCTCACTGAGTGACTACCACGGCTCAGACCTGAGCTGTGCCACCCACCCCGACCAGTGTGGTGATTTGAAAAAGAAACTGCCGTACAAATCCTGTTGAAAAAGTCCCTCTTTCTGCTCAGGTAAGGGCTCCTGCTTTCATTTCGGCTAGAGCTTCAGCTTCAGGCATCTCCTCTACAGGACACTGCCAGCATCTGCAGTTTGCAGAAGCGGAATTTCGATCCACATTGGATTCCTCAGCTGTCGAGTGTCCCTCCAATCCCCTCTCTGTTATGGCACGTGGAGCATCTTCCATGTGTCCCAGCAAGTGTGGTGGGGCAGTGCTCCCTTCCTGCCAGGCATGCCTGGGCCTGGGAGAGATTTGCAACCTCCTCTCGTGCACATGTCTTCATCCTTATGTACAGGGCGGGGGGGTTGTCTGTCTCATCTGTGCGGAGAGCAGTGGGAGATAAAAAACGTGGCTGTAAAAATGGAAGAATCAAGTGAACCTGTTGCCAATGCATGCTCAGGGGTCTCTATGGCATCCTCATTCCCCTGGTTTCAGGAGTCTCTGCCATAGTGGCCCCGGCGGACACAGCAGGGCCTTGAGCTGGAGGGGCTCGTGCCTCCGCACATGGCCGTCTGCATGGCCAGAGGTCAGCGGAGCCTGGCCACCTCCGTCCCCCTCCCTGCAGCCACCTCAGTAGCTGGCTGACAGGATGGCTAGCAGAGCCAGTGTTTTTGATGTTTTTTTTTTCGGGGGGAGGGGGTGTTGCCCATCTTTTGACTTTCCACAGCAGTTTCTCACTTCCCCCTGTGAGGCAGGAGCTGTGCTTCCTCACCAGCCCGGCGCCCGCCCCACTGCCCGCACAGCTGCCTAGAGAGGCTGGTGAGGCTGGGCTTCACCTGGCCCCAGGAGCGTGGGGTTTCGGAGGGAGCCAGGGGAAAGTCTGAGGAAACCCCAGGGCAGGAGGAAGGAGCTGGGACTAAAACCCTCCTCGCTGCTAAACCACCTCAGGCATACCCGTAGCCATTTCAGCCCCACCAGCCCCGCTATGATAGAGGTCAAAGGGGTATTGGAGCTCCTGCAAGTCCCACTAGTGATGCTGGTGGTACAGGACAGAAGCCTTGGTGTCTCTAGGGATAGTGTCCCTAAGGATGGGGGGTGGTTTTGGTCCCTCATCCTAAAGGCAGGCACCAGCTGGCCCACAGAGCATGGTGGCACAGGGAGGGGAGGCACTGGGGGTAGCCAGGTCGAGGGTCTTCTCCTGCAGCCACTGGTCACGTCTAACAAACTCTCCTCGATCCTGCAGGCCCCCCAGCCTTCAAAGCACTCAGCTTTCCTCTGCCAGCCTCCCCATCCAGGCCCTTTTCCCCTCACTTTCTCCTCTCTCCCGCTGTTGCTGGTTCACCCACTGGTTTACTCTCCTGATAGTTCACCCACGGGTCCAGCTACTTCAGCCCAAAGCACCCCACAGACCCCCACAGACCCGGCTCGCCCCTCTATGGGCTTTTTGTGGGTGCTGGACCTCAGCAGCAGGCAAGGCAGATAGACAGGGTACGGTGGGCACGTTTTATCCCATGCACAAAGCAATACTCCAATGGCCAACATCCGACAGGGACCAGCCATCTCTGGGTACAGCCTCTGAACCCCCCACTTGCTGCACAGCCACCACATTGTCCCACACAGACCTTGTCCCACCCCCTCGGGACCCTTTCCC